AAAAAAAAAAAATACTTTTTGTTTGGTTGGTTTTTAACTAGAAGAGCTGTGGAACATTTCCACCTTTACCTGAAACACTTCAAAGAGTGGGCTACTGACAGATACACAGATCTGAGACCAGAGACAGACAATATTAAATCCCAGAGCTGTTTCAACCGGGCTGATAGTATTATATAGGAGCAGCAGGAGAAGGAAAATTGTCCAGATGTTATATTTTTGTGTGAGAACTCATATGTGACTCATGGAAGGGAAAGCACGTTTTTAGTATTCAACTGCTATCTACTGTAGGAGGAGGGCTCCTAATTTGACAATATGTATTCTCACTGAGATTACAGTACTGAATGTTAATACTGGTGCTCAGAAATGAAGCAGCAGGCATTTACTTTGAAGTAAGTTAGTGGAAGAATTTTCTGCATGCCAGCTATTTTCTACTCATTATCAGTGAAAGTAGGCTAAGCTACCCTGCTCTCAGACTGTCTGCCTACACTGTAAGATGAAGGAGGGCAGCAGAGCTCAAGCTCTGGAGCTCTGACTGCCACACTGCTAACTTATATAATGAAGTGTTAACCTCATTATGATCATGAAGTAGTAGTAGATGCATGCCAAAGATGTGCAGGAGAAGAATACTTTAAAGTTATTCATGATCTATTTACAGTTCTGCACTGTTTTCTAGGATCCAAATTTGAGAGCTGAGCAAAATACCTTACAGTATCAGAGATCTAATTCTAAACAATGTTTTATTTGATTAACATTAATTTCCCATCAGATGATGTCAATGTCTAGCAGCATACTCAAACTGAGTACCAACTATGACTATGTTCTTTACAGAATTTTTTTATAAAGGTTATCAAAGCCCCTTTTTCAATGATGGTTAATGTTCTCAAAGAGATGAAATGTTCATTCTTCAGCGTGAAACAAACCCTCCAAGCGATAAAACTCCGGAGTTGTGCATAAACATGGACGCTGAAGCTGGTTTTGAAAGTGTGTGATGACTTTGGTAGGATGAATTACTGAGATGAATAGGTGAATTTTTAGGTCATTGCTGTTATTCAGCTCCAAGTGTTGAAGCATCAAACTGCCAGGCTTGTTCTACAGAAAAGAAAGTATCTTATCTAGGAGTAAAGAATTATTACCTCTTGGAATAATTGCCATTTTCCCTGCTGGAAATTCAAAGGATTTTGAACTTTTGCCTCCTACTATTCAGTTGCTATTCGTGGAGAGATTCCATTAAAAAAAAAAAAAGGAGTTCTCATTTCTATACTTTACCTAAGCCATGTGAGCAATGTCATTTATCTCCTACTTTTTGTGCAGTATTTCTATGTTCTCTCCTTTGCACATTTGAAACTAATTACTTGGCTAGATGTAAGATGGTGTAACCTTCCATCAGCGCATGGTGGTGAATGTCACAATGAATCCAGAGAAATGTCTCCTGACCAATTATGTCTTCACCACACATCCCGGTAAAGAAACAAAGAAACTCCAGTCAGGGAACAATAAAACATCCTTACATTAACACCAGGAAAAAAACTCACATCCAGAAATGGACTTTCTATCACTACTTATCAAGGAAGCTGCCTTTTAAGAAAAGAATCCAGGCCCTGGGGTTGTTCCTAGGATCTCTCTTTAGCTGTAGAGTGATGGCAGCTGCTTTGCAAGAAGGAAGGGAGACCTGAAAGGTCCCTTTTGGCTACTCTAACTGGAAGTACCTGAAGACCACTAGCTTGAGGCAGAGACATAAACGGAGCCTACAGAGATTAGCTGCAGGGACAGCTGTCAGTTCTGAAACTGATAACCTGTGTTATAGATGACTTGTATTATGTCAATTGTTTCCAAGTGGGTATTTAGGTATTTCTGAAAAGATGTAATTTAATTTGGAGTGGTTGCTGGAGATAAAAAACAGAGAAGAAGCACATTTCCTTTACATCCCTGACACTTTCTCAAGAGCAACTCTTGTCTGATCTTGGTGCTTCTGTGCTCAATCCTATATCCTATTAAGAAACTCTCAAATTATTTCTGTTCACCAGAATGATACTTTTACAAAAGTAGTGTTTAATTATGCTTAGCTAATTCTTTATGAATGCATATTACAACCAAAGAAATACTCCACTTTTAGTAATAAAGTACAGACGATGACAGTACAGGTGTAGGTCTCCAAAAAGGATGTGAAGACAAACCCGAGTATTGCATCCAAACCCACTATACTTAATGGAAAAGTCAAGCCTCTTCTCTCTTCTACTGTAGTAATGAGCTTCAAGTTCCAGCCTAAATGAAAATGTAGATTCCTGTCACGTTGTCCAATTTTTGGTTTTTTTTCTCTTTACAGCTGGTCATCCAGATAGCCAGCTTTTCCCTCTTGCCTTGTCTGTATCAGCCATTAAAGCCTAAGTGTATCTAAATAACAGATTAAAGAACTTCCTTGAAACATTACCATTACCTTTCATTCATTTTTATAAAATCCTTCATTTCTCTAGTGCTTTATTTTTGTTACTACACATGCATGTAAAACAGGATTTTTCCTTCATTGTCTCTTTCAGCTTTATTTCACTCCTCAAATCATAATACATTACCTGAGGAAGAATTATATACTAAATGCCTTTATCTCCAGTTTCCCAGAAGGTTAAAATTATTTTATATCAGTGTTCTCCAAGCCAGCGAACAACTGCATTTTTTGGAAATTATTTCAAGAAAGCAGAAAACACCTCAACCTAAAGAAGAAGAAATTCTCCCTGTTTGCAACTGCAATTCAATTACTTTTTTGTTGTTGTTTCTGATTTGACCCTCCTGCTTTACAGAAAATATTATGAACAGTTATGAGGCAACATTTTATTAATCAACTATATTGTTGTAACACCTAGAGCAGAAAGTGATGTTGCATTGGGGTAGGTGTTGTCCAAGGGATCACTTCTGATGGGCAGCAAATAAACTATCTATCACAGCAAGAACATCTGTGGCAGGAGAAGCTGCTCCTATGCAAATAACACTAATAAAAATGGAAATAAGACAGATGGAAGATCAGTTTCTTAGTAAGATTGTTCCAGAGTGCTTTTCAAAAACCCATCTGTCTTAAAAAATAGGGCCTTTCATTCATTTTTGATGACAAATGAGAATTACATAGTATGGGAACAACAGAAAGTGAATGCAACTGATGCCAGACTAGCAGTGAAATGGGAGGCTACTCCCATATTGCCCATTTAGAGAATGTAATTGCAGGTAGGTAGAAATTGTAATTTGATCTATGTATCCAGATCTTCTGTTGGTTTTAATCCCTCTGGGCCACTAAAATATGCCTAGTCAGTATGATGGGACAATTAGAAGCTTTAAAGACACAGAATTCTATGTCTACTTTGCCCTTCAAACTGCTGCACTTGGGTAACTGTGTTAACTGTGTTCTTCCCTCATTCAACATCACTCTGAGAGTTGTACAGTAGACATGGTCAGTTGCACAACACTTTTACATCAGGAAATTCATCTCTCTGCAGAGAAGTTCAATTTTTCTTTGGTAGAAAGAATAAAAGTGTTTTTTGTGTGTTTCTTTCTTACTTTGGTACTGATATGTTCTTTTGCTTATTGTTCCTTTGTCTTGTTTGCAAAGACAGTAACATAAGCAGAGAGGAAAAAGCAAAAGAATCGTATTCGCAAAGTGCTAATATAATCCCATGCTATTAGAAAAATTAAGTATTCTATGCCAGGAATCCCATTCCTTTCCTGCAGAGTTATTTCAGCTTCTGAAGGCTCTGCATAAAGTCTTCTGTCTCCTCACTTTGAATTAATGTATGAAGACGCCATGAGCCTGGCTGAGTCAGACAATCAGCTCTAGTCCAACTGCTCTAATTAAGTGCGATGAGGTGGGAATGCACCCTGTTTCCAGATATTGACCAAAACCAGACTGCATCATCTTTTGTAATATCAACAAAACTGACTTGGAGAGTACCAGAAAATAGTTCATGACTCTCTTGCTGACCAAACATTTTGAGGGATTTTCATTTCCTCTTTCACAGAAGTTCAACATGTTAAATTTTAAAAACAAAACAAATGGAAAAGTGTATCTTCAAAAGTGTAGCTATGTGGTCAAATACTTTTCCACTTCAAAAATCAGTGCATGGGATTCACGCATTAATATCTTACACCACTAAACAAAGAAAAATTTACAGTTTTCTGGATTAAACCCTCACTGAAGTTTAGGCAACCACTCTGTACAAAGTGCTTAGAAGAAATAACATAAACACCCCTTTATCTCAGAAAAGGGGGAATAAGCCCTCCTCACAAATTGTAAATGTTGGGAATAATTGATTCTTGATGTGAGTAACCCTTGAAATTCATGTAAGATGTCAGCAGCAGAAAAATTAAGCAATGGTATGTAGCATGGCCTAAAAATGAGCCCAAGTCAGTTTAAGATGCATCTGTATTGCCTCGAGTTCATCTGGGGAGCTGGCCAGGAAGCTGCTGCACCGGGAAATAACCATGAGGTCCATAAAAGGGATAGAAAACATCCAGATGAGTGTTGTTGTAGGTGTCAGAGACTTCCAAAGGACCTCACTGGTGGGCCTTACTATGAGAGAGTGGCAGTTTTGCTAGAGTGCTGACACCTGACAGTTATGCCACAGGAGGGTGCACTGGGATAAGAAAGCTGTCTGCATGGATAAAGGCATTATACAAGGCATATTATAACTTCACAGGGAATGATAATATTCAAAATAACTTCAGTATCTCCTTGTAGAAGCAGTGGTCTCAATAATTTCCTTGTATTACCTCCACCTAACATTGAGAGGGTAATGAAACTTCACAAATATGGTGTTGCGAGTGTCTCTTTGCCCATATTTTTTTTCAATGCATGGCAGACAATCACTAATTTGTGTGCTCATCAGCCTATGTTATCAGGTGAACACAACCCCTGCTTTAGGTATGACTCCAATATAACCACTTTCTGGTCAAGAACGACATGTCCAGCAATTGTCCTACTGGACGCACATCATTGTCCCAGGTATAAAATGAAATCTTACCTATAACTTTTCCTAGGAATAGTGCCTTTGGGGAATTGAACTGAATGTCAGATGCGGCTGGCAGGCTGTAACTTGTTGGAGGATAGTGATCAAGCTGGAGAAAGAGAAAAGAAATTATGAGTATTTTGAACTGATCTGCTTATTACAGTGCTACTGAATCAGGTCTACCTTATGGAGTTTATGCTGTCACTTACACTTCTGTCTGATACCCTCTGCTTTCATTTTGATAAAGTAAAACCAACAGTAAATACCCTTTCTTCCATATCTGCCATCTCCACAGTTCCCAAGGCCTAGAGAATACCTGTATTGGATTTTTTAAAAATTCTGATTGATGTAGAATCACATCAGTTTTGCTTGTGTGCTTCAATATAATTGCTAAAAATAACAACAGCATCAACAATAAAACAAATCACTATTTCTGTAGAAACAGATTTCCCTTTGGGACCTATGTTACTGCTAACTCCAGATTTACACAGCTGGGAATTCAAGACTAATTCAGGTGTTAGGCATTCTCCTTTTCTTTCACAAAAGTCATAAATTAATAAGACATGCTTTTTTGCACTTCATGCTTGTTATTTTCTTGTTGAAAATATTGTGCCATTTGATGGTGATGACACCTACTGAAACCTAAAAAATAAATTCAAGAGTAATCATCTTAGCTAAATAGTTTAATCTATAAGAAATGCATATTGTCCCTGATATGACACAACAATCACATTACATTAGCATTATTTCCCCCTAGTTTTTAGCTATTTAACAGAAAAATGCGAAGAAAGAGAGCAATAAAATGAATTGCCTATGCTTAGTAATAGTGCTATTAAGATAGTTTAATATAGATTAAGAGAGTTTTGATCTTTGTATTTCATAAAGGTAATTGGGGTGAATTTTTATCTTTGCTGTTTTTATTTATTTTCACAGGTTCGTGTGTTTATTACACAGGCTTAAATAGGACATAACAACAATTGTTTATTTTATTCTGGCCTTACCTTGTCACAAAACAGGATAGAAACTCATAAATGTGATTTAAGACTTTGCAGGGTACAATAGACTGCAAGAAGTAGTTCTGGAGAAATGGTAACAGTAAAGGACATACAATATTTTCACATATTTTTTTGCCATATTTCTAATTTAAAAATGTTATTATTGTGTACTATTTTTCTTTAGTGGTACTGCAAATGCTCAGTTTGATGGTTAAAAGTAAATGAATGGCAGCAGAGAAATGAAGGAAGGGCTGAATTCCATGCTACTGTGGAATACTGTGAGCTCAGGTACTGGGAAAGCCTCCCAGGGTCATGAGTTTGCAGAGGCAATAATCTCAAAACCCTATAATAACTGGAGAAGAGGGGTCCTCTGTTTCTTGTAATGCCCCATAAAATTACAAGAGAGGTATATATACATAGTAGACAGAGAGGAAATATAGTCTCTGAAGATCACAAAAGAGATCTATCAAGTTTTCATATCCATAAGTGATTTCTAATTGATCAAACTAGAATTCATACTGATTATTTTGAGCTAAATATATGTAAAAACATAGTTCCATATTCTTACTCAGAAACTAAGAAGTTTCCATTTGTTCAGAACATCTTCAACAGTTTTCCTCATATTTTTAATAAACAGCAGAAATACATGTTTTATCTGAAGTTAGAGTTATATAAATTCAAATTGAAGAGAGCCATTTTTGAAACGGTGTAGTCAAGTGAATACAAAGAGTTAAAATACAAAATGGATCTCAACCTTAACCACAGCTGATTCCACTAAGTACTGACTCCAGTTAAGTGCTTGCTATTGGCTTCCCTGCTGGAAGGGAAATATGTGTTCCAGGATCCAACATTACAAGTGTCAGACCCATTGTCAATGGGAACTGCATGCACATCAGGTGAAAAAAATATTCCCTTCTTATTTCATAAAACAAATAGAAATGGCTCATATCTGTCATGGTATTTACCTTTAAGGTTATTAAATGAAAGGCATAGGCTTTAGAAAGCTGTATTAGGAAAAGACTGGTGAACACTTATCCACAAAACCTTGATTGTCCAACCTCTCATATGCCAAGAGGTTAACCTCATGCAATTTCTTTGCATGTGGTGGAATTATTTCTGATACATACACAGGATTAATCTCCTACGTTTTCCTCTTATAAATATGACTTAAAATAAGCCGAAGTAACTCTTATAAAATAATCTGGCGTACTACCGCATACATTGGTATCTATCAGCATCATCAACATTTAGGTTCTTCCTTTTTCAAAATCAACCTGGAGCAATGTTTAAATATTTCTTTTTATTGTGAGTTGGAATATGAGCAGTGGTGTTGATCAGATGATCATAATTCTGATAAAATAAGAATAAATTATAATAATAATTATCAATCTATGATTTACCTTACCAACGTATTGTGGGTATCCCAAATCTGTAGCTATGGTCCAAGTGTTACTCCATAAAAGTAACTATTAGGAACAAGTAATAAAAAATCATCCCTGCCTACTGTACAGACTGCCTCTACCCGAGTACGCTAATTGTGTCTGCAGGACATACATCAAAATGAAAAGTCAATTTAAATGATGAACCTGTGTGAACATTCACACATTCAAAGCCTTCCAGCTGTGGTGTAATGAAATTCGCTTTGTCTTCAGTTAGCATTCAGGATGTGGAAAGGCCCTAATTTTCCTCATCTTGGAAGGGTTAGTCAGTAGTAATATTGGCCAGATTGAAATAAAAAAAAGTTCTTCCAGTGACCTCATTTCCCCTTGGGACTTCACCATAGCAGAGCATTCCATCAAGGTGCAGAGGTAAAAGATCCTGCCACATGTGGGAATCAGAGACTGCAACAAGGAGACTTATGCTGTGTTACATTGCCGGCTCTAACAGGTACAGCCAGTTTACTGCAAAGGTTTATTCGTTTAAACTGATCTCTTGTAGTGAGTGAATAATTGAATCTATCCACTCACATATATTTTCCAGATCTCATTGAAGTCAAGGAAAGATTTCAAAATGGGTTCAGCTGTGGACTATTTTCAGGGTTTAATGACTGAAGTTTTAGGTTGTTTTGATTCCTAGTTAAAATAAATCTCTGTTTAAAAACTGTTTATACTGATTTTCTGGGGCAAGCATTTGTGATCAGTGATAGAGCCAGGTTCTGCTCCACTGCCAGCTCTGGCATTTCTTTTCCCTCTTGTCCAAGGAGGATACCTGTGTTGCTTTCCACGGCCAGCTTTGAGCTACACCCTTCTCTAATCCTGGCACCTGGAATGAAATGGTGCACCACAAGACAACAGCCAGGAAATAGTGAAATTTCTGTCCTCTCACTTTTATTGCTTGTCTTTGTACTAAACTAGTATATTTTAATAAAAGAAATTTTTTTCCCTGGAGGCACTGAACCCAGGGTTTCTTTACAGGTCTGTAAGTTAAAGTACTATGCTGAATTGTTTCCAAAGTTGTGTGTGACTGCCATCCAGTGGGTGCTCCAGTGTAAGCAGCTGGAACAGACGCCTGCAGTCTTAGTATGAAATACTAGCCTATCATTTTAATATAAGACATACAATAAAAAAGGAATTACTAGTGTCAAGTGATATTTGAAAAAAGTTATTACATTATTTAATGAAAATTAAATAGAACCTCTGCATACGCAGACGTTGATACCATGAATTTGTATTAAATTACAGTTTTAAAATTATATTTAAGATTTTTCATTACAGCTACTTTTCTTTAAAAACTAATTAATATCGTTTGAGCTTAATATAAACACACAGTGTGGCTTTGAGTGTTACACAGATGAAAGTGGGTGGCAGTTTCTGAGGAACTTGCAGTTTCAGTTCTCAAGTCATGTCACACCAAGGCAGACTGTCTTTATCTGAAGTTGCTTGGATTTAAGCAGAAGTTCAATAAAATGCTATTTCTTTTAAATTACTCTTCACTTAGATAATAAAACTAATCTTGATGGGAGTTCTGAGATTAACAGACATATCAATCTAAGGGCAAACATAAGGCCTACATCACCTTAGGAGTCTTGGAAAAAAAATATATACACATATGCATACATTATATTCAACCTGTGGATATATCTACATCTGTATCGTTTTCAATCCAAGTCTGTGTGTGTGCACTGCTATAAAAGTTAAGGGTTTTCTTTGTGCTGAAGACATTTTACAAAAAAGTATTGTCAAAATCAAATGGAATAATATGCTGTAAGGCTTAATCTCATACCATCTGAAGTAAATACAGCTTTACTATTGACTTCAGTAATAGCAGGATAAAGAAGGGGATGTGTTATCACCATGATCAATGTTAGTATTTCTCTTCTGCATTATTATGATGATTTATCACTTGTTTGAAAAAGCTCCCCAAGTCCTGGACAAGGGCTTTTTGTGCTAATTTCTATAGTAATGCACAGAGTTATATATGAGTTAAATATATGCAAAAACATAGTCTATGCACGCATAGACTAAGCATGAGACCCCAAGAAAATAATAACAAGGCAGATGATTAGATGGAGCTCCTCCCAAGTACCCAAATAGGATAACAAAGTAGGAGAAAGCACGAAGTTGATTATGAAAATCAAATAGGAAATATTACAGCTTTTTATTGGTGAAATGTAGATGATTATTCCCCTGCTAAAAGGTTAGGGAAAAAACCTTACAAACAATATTTCAATATTTTTATTAATGTGATTATATTTATTTGTTTATTTTTTTCAGCACAAAAGAAAAGGAGCAGATTTGACTGGTAATTGTGTAGTTCCTTAGGCTGATCATGGCTACTCTTACTGCAATTCAGCTCCTTCCTTAGCGTGGCACTAGTGCTCTGCTGATCTTTTTCTGCCAGGTTAGGTCCTTGACCCAGGTTACTGTGGGTCAAATCAGAGCTGGAGCAGGGACACGCCATAGTGAACAGTGGATCCAGAGAAATAGGCAGGACCATAAACCCAGAATTTTTTACTGCCTTAGACTCTCACAGACCTGCAACCTCACTGCTCATGTGGAACACAGAAGGAGGCACATACCTCACCAGCATAATGTAAGGCAAAACTAAAGGTTTGCATTGTGCTTTGATCTCTTCAGATGAAATATCTGTAGAGGTATAGTCAATACTGTTTTAG